AAAAAAAAAAACTTTAGCAGGCTCAGGCCAGTTTCGAACCCACCAGTCCTGGAGCCTGTGGCCATCGCCCTAACCACTGAGCTACAGGCACCCCTGGAGAGCTTTTAATGAGAACATATTATTATGTTCTACTAAGGATATGTCATGATAAAGACTTTGTTATTTCCATATTTTTATTGTTTCCTAAGTAATTTCCTGCTTCAAGATAGTGCCTCTAAGATCTTAATTTTCTTTGAGTTCAGAAATGTCTACATTCAGGAATTAATTAATGGTACAAAATGAGTTATGTAAAGTTATTTACCAAGGTAATACTTTTAATGTAAAAAACTCAAAATACTCCAAATTAGGAAGCCAACTAAGTTTATAATGATGTTATCTGTGAAAAATACAGTATTCTTTAATCCTTTAGTGCAGGGTTTCTCGATCTTAACACTACTGATCTTTTGGACTAGATAATTCTTTGTGGTGGAGGATTGTCCTGTGCATTGTACCCAAAAGTATCTCCAGACATTACCAAATGTGACCTGAGCGGTAAAATTGTGCCCAGTTAAAAACACTGTAACAGCAGTATAGGGAAATACCAGATAATACTCAACAATGAAAACATGATAGATAAAACCTATATTTAAAAAAGAAATTAAAGACTTGGTTACACTCAAATATAACATTAGACTCTCTATGGACAAAAGAGAAACAAGTAGGGTTAAAACCACAGGCATGCTGGACTCTGAGATCGAGAAGCACAGACTATCCAGAAGAAACAGAGACCATCGCTGAGACAAGACCTAGTCCAAAGTATTCTCTGGCAGAGTGAGTGAATCTGTATTACCAAAGTCTTTGAGAGAAGGGAGTCCCGAGCCACTAACAATAGATCAATTCGAAACAGGGAACAATGAGGAATCTTCAAGATGAAAAATCCAAAAAATTAATAAATGCAATAAACCTTTCTTTGAATATGCAGCAAGAATTAATGAAAAGAAAGATAGTGAGAAAGTCACCCAATTATAAAAAGAATGAAAAATATGAAAAAGAAATTATGAGACATGGAAAACCTTAAGAGTATAAAACATAAACTAAAAGGAGTCCCAAAAGAGAGAATATAGAAGCAGCAGAGAAGCAATATGCAATACTTACAGATACAGCCTAAGATTTTTTACATTAAAAAATACATAAGTGTCTGTGCAGCTGCTCACGCTAGTAATCTTGCCACTCTGGGGAGACTGAGGTGGGAGGATTGCTTGAGCTCAGGAGTTCAAGACCAGCCTGAGCAAGAGCAATACCCAACCCTTCTAAAAACAGAAAAATTAGCCCAGCATCTTGGTGCACACCCTAGTCCCAGCTACTCAGGAGGCTAAGGCAGGAGGATTGCTTGAGACCAGGAGGTTGAGGTTGCAGTCAGCTATGATGATGCCACAGCACTCTACCCTGGGCAGTGGAGACTCTGTCTCAAAAAATAACTTTTTTTAAGTTTATGCATAATAAAATTCACTTTTTCTTTTGGTGTGGAGTTCTATAAGTTGGGACAAATACAAAGAGCATTCAGTCACCACCAGAACTAAGTCACAAAACAATCCCATCACACCCCCCAAATTTCCACACACTACCTCTTTGGGGACACCCGTTAGCTGCTGCAGCCAAGGGATATTTTACATCCCTAATCTCCATCCTTTACTTTTGCCTTTTCCAGAATGTCTGGAATCACACAGCATATGGCCTTTGGAGTCTGGTGTATTCACTCAGCATAATGCATTTGAGGTTTATCCATGTTGATGTATGTATCAATAGTTTGTTTCATTTTATTGCTGAGTAATATTCCATTTTATCATGATTAGGAATACACTTACTATACACTTCCATATAAGTCTTTGTTTAAACATAAGTTTTTATTTCACCAGGGTGAATATTTATATATTCAAATTTACAAGAAAATGCCAAAAAGCCTTTAAAACAATTTTTTTTTGATGCCATGACTCAGATTGGCAAATTCCTTCATTCCTTCCTTCCCTACTGTGCAGTGGCATCATCATTGCTCACTGCAGCCTCAAACTCCTAAGTTCAAAAGATCCTCTTGCCTCAGCCTCCCTGGCTAATTTTATTTTATTTTATTTTATTTATTTATTTATTTTTGGGACAGAATCTCAAGCTGTCACCCTGGGTAGAGTGTTGTGGCGTCACAGCTCACAGCAACCTCAAACTCTTGGGCTTAAGTGATTCTCTTGCCTCAGCCTCCCAAGTAGCTGGGTCTACAGG